CGCGCGCGCGCGCGCGTGTGTGTGTGTGTGTGTGTGTGTTTTATTATGACATATTGAACAAATGTTAATTGCAATAATTACAAATATATTCAATATTCCAGATATATTAATGCTATTAATTATTATATAAATAATTTATATAATTTGTAAAAAAATATAATTTAAAGTTCTAATCTAATTGTAATTGTTTCAGTACTCACAATGAAGAATGAAGAAATGCCATAAGTATCGAATATGACGCAAGCACTGCTTATCTAAATTTATATGTATTAGTAATATTATTATATTTATAAATAATATATATAGTAAGAAAATATTGTACAGAGAAAAGGAAAACCATAAATACTATAGTATCTAAACAATAGAATAACAAGGATACATAGAATAACAAATTCCGTAACTTTTTTGTTAGAATTAAAAAAAATAAAAGACACTAGAAAGATGTCGAACAGGCAATTAAATTATTAGACAATTTATAAATTTAAAATTTAATCAATAAGATTTTTAAAAAAATCTTGTCTCTTTATAATTTTATAAAATCTGACTCATCAATAAATAATTTATACGAGTAAGACAAACAATTTTTGATAATAAACAATGTTTCTTGAACAATATTTATAAACATATACACTATTTGTTAAAAATTTGATACAATATCTCTCTCAATTAAATTAAAAGAAATAGAACAAATAAATTTTAAAAATATTTTGTTGATATAATATAAGAAAAATATTGTTACTAAATTTGTATAATTTATATAATAATATAATTATATTTTTATTTTTTTATATCATAATACAGAAAAGAAAATATTTTTGTAAGTTTATTTATATCGTTATTTTTAATTTAACTAGAAAAGATAACATGTGAGATTGTGTAAGATTTATTGTAAATTTAATATTGTAAATTTATATGTAAATTATTATTATTTATTTATTTGATATATTATTTCAATTTTAAGGTTTAAATTTGTTTACTTTATTTAATACTTCAATCTGAACATTAAAGAATTCTTATGACATAATTTGTTTTCCATTCTCTCGCTTGCTAATATGTGATCGATTATCAAATATGATAAATAATGTACATAAATATAGAAATATAAAATATAGATAAATTTATAAATATAGATATATGATAATCGATGAAATGAAATATAAAGTGTATATATTTTATTTGTTTGAGATAGATAATTACGTCGAATATCAATATTTGTTGGTCCATCATACAGTTGGTTGCATGGTCATATAATACTGAAAAAAGAATTATATGCTTTTTTTTCATTGTTCAACATGATAAGAAATAAAAAATTATTATATTTTTGTAAAATTCAAGCTTTTAAATTAAAAGAGTATTTAAGATAAAATAAGAATATAAAAGTAAAAATATGAAGGCCAATAAAAGTAGCTTTACACAATTACAGTTGACTACATCTGACAATCTTGCCATTTTATTTAATTCATGCTACCACTAAAATGATAAATATGGATTCTCTTTACAATATTTATAGGGTTTATTTAACTTTTGTTTCTGTTATTTATTGTAATTGATTCTGTCTATTTTTTTCATCATAATGACTTTTTTGTTACATATCTTCATGTTCTTCCGATTTTGACATATTTTAATTTTCTTATTATTATATTATCGATTTATATATTAGCGACTAATGACTATAAATAAAATTAAAATGTTTCCCATAATAATAATAATATGCATTAAATACATATATATTTAATAAAATAACATTTCTTAATTGCTCATTTATTAACCTTCACATTCTTATTTATGCAAAATTCAAATATTGTTCAAAAATTTACAATTGTATTAAATCGTAAAACATAAAAAAAAGGTGAAAGAAGATAAAAAGAATACTAGAAGAAAATGAAGAAAATTTTTCAGTTTTTTCATTCTTCCGATGTTTCTTTATTTCACAATTATGGACTTTCATTTCATCTAATTAAAGCTGTTGAGGGATGTTTAAAAAAAACATTAAATTACAATGTTATTATTGACAGAGCAAAAAATGTTCTGTGAAACACAGAATGTAAGTATATATATATATATATGTCTGTGTCTGCGTGCATGTGTGTGTGTGTATAATAAGTCTTAGAAGCGATAGTTTTGTCAATCCTTGTTAATAAAAGAAATATTTAGAAAAGCTTATACTATATTTATTATATTACGTTTCAGGAAAAATTACTTATTTTATTATTTAAGTTATCAACAATATATTGCGTTATAACAAGAGGCTACCATTGTACTTATTAATTATATTTACATATATGATCATTAATTATTAATTTTTCTTTTTCTTAATTTTTTTTAATTTTGGCCTGTATTCATACTCTTCAATTTGGCAGATTTTATCTTTAACAATATTTATTAATTAAGTTATTTCTGCCTTAACCTTGAGCAAACGTATTTCTGTCATTATGATTATGTTTTTCGTATTTGTTGAGATTATAATTTTTGATATAGCTTTTTGAGATTGTTTGTATATTTATTGTATATATTTATTTATTTTCTGTTCGTATCGATCAATTTATTTATAACTTATGATCGACTTTATTTATTGACATTACTTTTAATTATTATTATGACTAATAATATTCGATAAAAAGTCAAAATTGTCTCAATTTTATAACTTTAAGAGATAAATAAATGTGTTTAACATTTTTAACTTACGTCCTTCTCTTTGCTCTTAGCTTTATTAACTTTTTATATTTATTTTGTAATCATAAGTTTTATATTACATTAATTGTTAATTATTTAATATTTTTCAAATATCACAATTATTTCCGATATTATTTCTGATGAAACAGAATTACATGATCTTAACAATATCAAGCATTTATTATCAAACAATAAACGTTGCAATTACTCCAACGTTAATTTTAATTTTAACGATCAATTTTTGACGTTTTTGCATCATTTGGATTAGATGTTTAAAAGGATTTAAATTTAAATCGTCTATTTTATCAATTGAATGTAACAATTTTCGTAAAAAGATTATCATATGTATTATGCTTATAGCTTCAGAAGTCTTGTTTTTCATAATTAAAATGACTATATTAATACGTATGTATTTACGGCATAGATTTCATGTCTAAAAAAAAATTTTTTAAATTAATCTTTTTACTATTTGCTACTTTCATATTTTCATTATCAATTTATTTTATATCTTATCAAAGTTATCAATTATTTGCTTTATATAAAAATTCTATAATTTGTAGATATTTACAAACTCGATTTCCTTTCTCTTCTTACAAACAAATTATACAAAGAAGTAACATTGAATTCTTAAAATTAAGCTTAAGCACCTAATATGATACAAAAAGTTTATACAAAAATTTGTGCATATGAGTGCATAAGGATATAAATATATGTATGCACATATGCTCAGTTACGTATATGTAGATTTCCCATCGAAATTTGCCCTTTACTTTAATTTACATCTTTTTAAAAGATGTTTATTTATGATCATCTTATCTATCCTTTATCCATAGATATTGTTTTTTAAGAAATACAAAAATTTAATTACGGCAAATACTTTAGCGAGTGATTACAGTAGTACAATTAATAATGTCATCTATTAAGGTCAATCTTATAAAAGATATTTTACTTTATTTTACATTTTTATTCCTTGAAAAAAGTAGAAAAAATTTCGAGAATATATCTCAAGATATTCAAATATATGATTAACGCATCGAAAGATGCTAGATATACCCAATCGAAACATTTTTTAACTACTAAGTTAGCTGTCAAGTAATATTATCTATTGTAACTGTTATCAGATTAACTATATTCTTTTATTGTGTTAAAATACGTATGTTATCTAAAGTAATAAAATTTTAATTGGTATGCTTAAATTAATATGATTATAAGTAAACATATAAGCGAGTGTAGCATAATAGACAGCGCACTGATCTATTATGCTAGAGGTCCCAGGTTTCGGCAGAGCCAAAAATATTTACGTTCTCTCCTCTCGGAAGGCAATGGCAAACCACCGAGAGTAACTTTGCCATGAGCGTCTCTCTAGCAAAAATTTTGCCGTTTGGAACCGGCGTTAAACTGTAGGTCCCTGTCTATCTGTGTATAATTATCGTACGCATCAGGTACAGAGAGAGAGATCACCACGCTCGAACACGAACAATAGAACTAGGAAGAAAAACTGTGTACTAGAAAAATTGTATACTTTGTTAAGAAAACGATATAGTAATAAGAACAGTAATTTTTTTGTTGCAGCAATGAAATTAGTTTCAACAAATCATAATTAGCTACGGCGATGATAATTTTTTTTATATATATTAAATATTTTTCGCGTGAATTTCGCCGATTTTGTGTTCTATAATCTAAGCAAATCTATATAGTACATGCAATAAGACATGATGATAATGTTTCAATCAAGTTATATATTTGCAGCACGGACATTACTACATTTAATAGAAATGAAATTTTGGATTGATTAAAAATAAGTTGAAGTGCACATTAATATCTCATAGTCCAACACTTTCCAATCTCTCATTTCTCAATCAGAAAGTAAAATTTAGAATATCTATCAATGAATTTTTTTATTTTATATTAATAGATTTCATTTGCAACATATTTGCAATAAAGATTTAGTATCGAAAGCTTCGAAACCATCATGAAGAAATAGTTGAATAGTATTTTTAAATATTATTTAATATAGTATTTTTAAATATAAATTTGACAGTCCTTCCATTTGCATAATGCAATTCAAGATATGAGGCATGTGAAAGATTAACCAATTTATTGCCAAGATTTCTTCAAGATTGACGTCTGTGCATTCAGGCATTTTCCATATGTCAACATTGTATTAAGCTAACCACAAGACTCGAAATGCTCATTCAGGATTGCTTTCGGATCTAAAGAATAATAAATATATTTTACTAAAAAACATTTAATAGTTTCATAATGGCAATCGGTTCCTTTTGCTTGTCAAAACCAGAAAGTAACCACCCAGGGATTGCTTGCCTTGAAAAGATATTAAAGCTTTATTCCCATTTGCTTTCAATGCATTGTCTTCTGGATTAGACACAACTGAGTTTTTTCTAGTATATAGCCATCATTCAAGGAAATAAAATAAAATATCGCTTTTAGAAGTTAGATACGGAAGTTTTATTTTCTACGGTATACGCGGTAGAAAATAAAACTTCCGTTTTGAATTTGAATTTTGAATAAATATAAATTATATATTGTACATAATGCAAATATTATAAAGTTAAATATGCGACAAGTAGTAAAATTAAAATTTAAAGATTGTTGACTAAAAATACAGACCGATTTATATTGTGTACACATTAATATTGGCGGTTTATTTCTGGAAAAAAAGTAAATTTTTCTTTTCTGCTGAATAGCTGAAATTCACAGAATAGCTGAAAATCAACAGAGAATATAATAACTATAATTATAATTATATTAAATGCCAATCGGAGAAGATCGGAGAAATAATTTTTTT